CCGCCGAGAGCTGGGAGACCCTCTTAAAGGAGCGGAGGCCGCCCCCTCTCCACCCCCCACGCCTGCACCTCCAGGCCCCACAGACCGACCCCCGTTGCTCAGCTGGGGCGGGGGTGATGGCGGAGCGCCCCTACTTTGGGGGTGGAAACTGCCGCGCTTTGGACGGCAGGGGAGGGGGCGGCCAACTCCAGGGGCCAATCCATCCCCCCAGGCCACCTGCCGGGAAAGGGAGCGACAGGCCCTGGAGGAGGGGACCCGCGGCCAGGAGCGAGCGCCCCCAAAGCTCCGGACTCTGAGCCGAACGCATGGCCCGCGGATCCGCCCGCCTGGCTCCCCATTTTGGGGCGCCAGACCTCCCACCTGGGGTGGCCGGTGGCCCGCGGCCGAGGACAAGGGCTTAGGGTCTAGAGAGTCGCGCCCAGCTGGCCACCAGGGCTTGGGGCGAAGGCTCTGCGTTATTGCACCAAAAGGGCCCGCACTTGACTTTATTCCACACCCTCAGCCTCCGCTCCCGCCCGCCAGGCACCCGGAGAAAGCAACCCTCCCCCCACTTTCCTTCATCAGCCGACTCCTTCTTCTATTTATATTCGAGCAACTTCGCTGGCGACGGGTCAACAAAGGCGTGGAGACTGCGCCAGTCACCGCGGTGGGAACAACGGCGCGAAGGGACCTGTGTTTGCACACGCGCCACCCTGGGACCCCGGCTGTCCTCCGACACGCAGCGCTCCGCACCCGCAGCCCCTCCATTTCTTCCTCCCGATCCCACTGGCCCGCACTCAGGGAAGGTGGAGGTCACAATCCCGACGAGGAAAGATAAAGGGACGGCGGCCCACAGCCACTCACTCGCAAGCACAACATTTTTTAAAAAAAGTCGAAGCGTGTGGCGATGTATGTGCCCCGGGGAATGGGTTCAGACGAAGTGGAAATGCTAACCGGAGAAATGGAGTTTACATATCCAGATTGGTTGTGTTTTTATTGTTAATGGTCTCCCTCCTGCCCCTTTGGGGAAGGGAGTGGGTTTTCCATCAGTGTGGTGGGTTTTTTTTCTTTTTGTGAGACAATTTTGACAGGTAATCTTATTATTTTAACAAAAGCATTCATTTAAGTCAGTTGAGAACCCCAAACTCGAATTATGTGAACAATGTGTATAATACAATATAATATCAATATTTTTTCTTCTATAATAGAAAAAAACACGGTTCTACTAAGAAGGCTCAACCCCAAACCCCGAATGCTGTAAAAATAGGCACTTTAAAAGACATTTTTCACCAATGACATGCTTTCAGGAACCGGCTGAATTAGCAGAAAATGATTTAAACTGTATACACTGTCATTTCAATTTCTTAGAAAGCAGATGATGCCACTTAAACCATTTAAATAGCTTGATTACGATATTAAACCAGAGGTTTCCAAAATACGGAGGGAGAACTTCAAGCTGAAAAAAATAATGGATCCCTTGCCATCCTAAACTACGTCGGGTTAGACCGCCGTTTCGGACAATCGGTGAGCTTTGACCTTTTGTTCTTTTTCTTACATGTGATCCTAAAGGAACGGCCGTGGTCAGCATCCCGGACTCATCAAAGCTAAATGACCGCTCGATAATATTGCATTTTGTGCTGCACGGATGCTCTCGCACACCTGAGCGGACCGAGGCGCTCCGCTGCCTAATTTCTCCTTTGTGGTACGTCTCGATAATCAAAATGCATTATTATTTCTCTTTCAAAATACAATGGGGATCCCTGCTTCCCTGCCCCCAAGTGCTGAAAATTCTCAAACCGGCCTGGAGAAATACAAATGCGCCAGGCGCCAGGCGAGGCAGGCCCCGTGTTCAGCACTCAATCATGGCCTGTCACAGGTGCAACCGCTATGCATTATCCTGCCGTGATGGATAGAGTGGGTCTGGGCTGCCTGGGGAGCTGGGGCTCAGGTGGGGGTCCTGTCATCTGGGCTCCCTTCCCCACTACCTGTGAGGAGAAGGGAATGCTTTGCAGGGATTGGCTGTGGCGTGAGTTTTAAATTTCAGTTCCTCGTATATAGAATAGGAAGGTCATCTTTTCTAGAAGTTCAGTGTAGCGCTGAGCTTGATCTCAGCATAAACTTTATGCTGGGGAAAAAACCAAACAGCTCATGGTAACACCCTAGACTTCATTTCGTGCTGACAACCTCATTTCCCATAATTACATTGTGTGAAAGGTATTTTCCTTAAATCTTAGTTTTTTTGTGTTTTCCTTTTTTGTTAATCCTCACCCAAGAATTTTTTCTTCCCCATTGATTTTTAGGGAGAGTGGAAGAGAGAGAGAAAACAAAGAGAAACATCGATATGCAATCAAGGTATGCACCCTTGACCTGAATTGAATCCAGGACCCTTTGGTCCACAGACCGAGTCTCTACCCACTGAGCCAAACCGGCTAGGGCTTAAGGAGGGGTCCTCAAACTACGGCCCGAGGGCCACATGCAAATACAAATATTGATTTGTTCCCGTTTTGTTTTTTTACTTCAAAATAAGATATGTGCAGTGTGCATAGGAATTTGTTCATAGTTTTTTTTTAAACTATAGTCCGGCCCTCCAACGGTCTGAGGGACAGTGAACTGGCCCCCTGTTTAAAAAGTTTGAGGACCCCTGAAAGCTTAGTTTTTAAACAGAAAAAGAATTTAGACATATTTGTTTTAATGTACACTGAATGGCCAGATTATTATGACCACCCCATCAGTACTTCATTGACACTTCCAAAAATACTGAATATTGAAAACTTCCTAAGCAAATATTCTCAAGGTTATTATTATTATTATTATTATTATTTGCATAACTAATTCACTTCATTGTACTGATGGGGTGGTCATAATAATCTGGCCACTCAGTGTATATATACTTAATGCCTGAATACGTATACTTAAGCTTAAGTAAACAACCACCTAATGTTGAACTTGATGTCTCTACATGAGGTAAAAACTGTACTTGCATCATGGTGAATCACTTTACTAGACAATGAATGATTCATCGTTTCATTATATGCCACTCAATAACCCACTAACATAGGAAATACCATGTCAGATAAAGCAGGGATTTTTATCTTAGATTGCGGCCCTATTTCATATTAGCTGGGCACCAGATTTTGGAGTCTGCTTGCGCTATGATCAGTCAAGATCTTAACTAATTACTGTCAGATCAAAGTTGACAACGGTCTCACCAGTGTTCCGTGAAACCCGCTAGGTCCTTCGTTTCTTTTTGAAATGGCTCAAGGCAAAATGATTTGCATGAGGAGGTCTCAGATTTTAAAATGTGGAGCTTCTTTCATTGGGATTATTAAGTGGCTTCCAGTGATGCCCACAGATGTCCACACGCCCACTGAAATGCTTTAGCATTTTTCCTCGTGCTTTTTAGGTTCAGCCTGAGAGACTGAATAAAATGATAGAGCTGGAGTGGGCAACACAACAGCCTTTAAAATGTTCCCTTTTTCGCACACCAGAATATTCTTTTACAGCAGTACATCTGCATTTTATAATTACAGCAAATATTAAATGTGTCCAAAAAATTTTGCCAATTAGATTATATTCCCAAACACAGATTTATGCTTTTGTGTATTTGTCTTACACTGGCAAATTATACGCAGACGGATTAAGCATTTTAACTGATAAACATCTTTCGGGAAAGCAGGCCTGCACCTCTGAAGCATTTTTGTTTTTATATTCCACCTATTATAGCAACAATCTGGCGTAATCCAGGAGTTTAAACATCCGATGGGCCAACTGATCCACAATTTGGGGTAAATATTTATATAAGAACATTTTTGAAGATATCTTGATAAAAGTTCATTTATATTGCTATTTTCTCTGTTTAAAAAAATAAGTATTAAAAAGGAGCTTAAAATGGTACATGTTTTCTGGTAAGCTTCTAATGACTAGAGAATTAGTGATATCTGAGTGATCATGATGCTGAGTAAACGTGTCATTTGCTGTGTTTGTGGATAGATGATGTGTGAGTGTAGAACAAACAGTACCAACCACTGTCTTTAAGAAGTGCATTCGTTTCATTAAAACAAGATTCCGCCCCCCTACACACACAGAACTTTAAATATGATTTGGATGACCTTTACAAATTGTAGCTATCAGAACAGTCCATTTTAAGAAGCAACTTTATATGCACACGACTTTATTGTAATTAGCATCAGGCTATCCTAGATTGATAGCTAATTCTGCCCATTTCTTTTATATTAACCATCATGCAAGACCAGTAGTTATATAGTGTTCACGATACGGAATGTTCCTTGAGCAATGTCGTTCGTTATTATAAGATGAAAAGGTCCTCTTCCTTATATTATAATATCACTGTAATAAGGTTCTCATTCAATAAGAAATAGCTTTTATGTACACATAGAGAAACGCCTGCTGTTTTCTAGAATAGCATTGAGTTTCTGCTCTGCTTCGACTTACACTTACGATTTACCAATGAAGTGGATACGGACAGAAAGACAATCAGGCTAAAAAACACAGACACCTTATGAGGGGGTGAAAGAAACTTTGGTGTTGGGTGTGAGTCTGTCTGTCCTTTTTTCACTGGGTTTTTGGCATCTTGCTTAAAGAGGATAGACAGAGACCCAAAAGTCGAGAGAGAAGCCAAAAAGATAGCACACAGCGGGGGAGTGAACCTCCTTTTGCCTTTATAAATCAGTGACACGCTCAGAAACAGATCCCCGGTGGCCGGCCACTGGGTGTGCCAGCAAAGACCAGAAGCTGTCAGAGGGAAATGCTTTAATCGTCTTCATTGCTGCTGGTTGTGAGATGACCTCAAAGGCAGGAAAGTGATAGAGGGTACTGTTCAGTGACTAAAGCATCTATACGTTTCCATTTTTCCCCTCAAAACCACACACACATACACACACACACGGGCATTCTTTAAGGAATGCTGTAATACCACATTGGTGGGAGTACAAAAGGAAAAAGACTATATAAAATAACAGGAAAAGCTGGAGCCTCAAAATGCATTTGGTCTGCTAGAAAACTTCATACTATCTTTTGTTTGTTTGCTTCCATTTTTGTTTTGGGGGGCTGCAGCACCTCACTGTCAACTTTGGGTTGAGAGCGAGGCTAATGCCTTAAAGATACAGGTAGAAGGGACGAGGAAGCCAGAGGGAACCGACCACCGCTGAGCTCTCCACCGGAAAGCCACGAGTCCCACTTTTCTACATCATTTGTTTCCCCCAAATCCCCGTGCAGCTACTTTTTCTTTGTGTTGAATGTCTTTTAGCTTTTGATTTCTTTGTGGCTTATAGGCTGGCTGTCTTGATTTTTTTCCGTAAGGTATTGTGCACATAGCTTGTTTGTGCAAATTTTTTGAAGACTGGCATAGTGATTTATTAGTAATAGGATTAATAATAATATCCACAGGGCTCTTTCTCAAGTGAAAGCAATATAATTAGGATATAGAGCAGTGATGGCGAACCTATGACACGCGTGTCAGAGGTGACACGCGAACTCATTTTTTGGGTTGATTTTTCTTTGTTAAATGGCATTTAAATATATAAAATAAATATCAAAAATATAAATCTTTGTTTTACTATGGTTGCAAATATCAAAAAATTTCTATATGTGACACGGCACCAGAGTTAAGTTAGGGTTTTTCAAAATGCTGACACGCCGAGCTCAAAAGGTTCGCCATCACTGATTTAGAGACTGTGGAAAAGACAGGATCCTAATGCCTGTCTGAGAAAGAGACAAGTAACATGTAACCAAATCAGGATACAGATTATCTACCCTTTCAATTCAATGCATCATCTCAGAATATTAGACTTACTTGCTTCCTTGTTAGCTTAAGAGTAACTTAGAAAGTTTTCAGTTTCATGGAGGAGGATGGGTGCTTATTTGAAAAATAGGAAAGCCAAAATGAAGTGTCTGTTTGTCCTAAGTGAAAATGGAGTTCCAAGAAAATGGAGCGGCTCTTAGTTGCAAGTAACAGAATCCTTGAGGAACTGGCTGAAACCCAGAGTATATTCAGGTTAAAACTGAGTGGTCTTTGGACTGGCATCTGTTAAGGCCTGAGTAGCTCAGTGATTCATCAAATGTCTTTTTCCTTCTCTTTTCCTATTTTCAAAAGTGCCAGCTTCATTCCAGGCCTAGCTTTCTCCTAGTCCCGCAGAAGCTCTTAGACCCGCGTGCTTGCTCGTGCATAGGAAAGGAGAACAACTTTGCCCCAGCATTTTTGCAAAATATGAATAAATTTTGTATGTCTAGCCCTAATCCAAATTTGCCATCAATGTGTTAATGAGTTAGTTCAGGGTTCTAGTGGCAGTATTAGAGCTGAGGATGCAGTTAGCATCCTTGGAACCACAAATCTTAAGAAGGAACCGACTTCTGAAATAGGGGGCGAATAAAGGCTGATGTAATCAAGGAGGACTTCTTGTGAGAGGTGGCACCAGGCTGGCTGCACAAGGGCTGGTTCGGAGAGGGAAAGAATAAGCACGGATCGTGGGAATCATAAAGTAGTCCTGACGAAACTAAGGCATTCATGTTGGAGAGTACAGTCGGTGTTTGGGGTCATCTTGTACAGGAGACACCAGCTTAGATTTCACGGGACAAGCAATAGGGAATTATTCAAGATTGGTTGAGTGTGTAAGTATCCCCTTATTCTACTCTGTCCTTTCCCAAACCAAATTACACAGGTCCCTGGTTTTTTTGGAGCAAACAATTATGTGCGAGGTGCCGGACATACCAAGATGAAAACGCAGAACCGAGTTGAGTTTCCAGCCCAGTAACCTCCATCCAGGTACCACCATGCCCAATACCTGTGCAACTTCTACCACACTAAGGCATTGATTAAAAAGAGAAAAATGGCCCTAGTTGGTTTGGCTCACTGGATAGAGCGTCAGCCTGCGGACTCAAGGGTCCCAGGTTCGATTCCAGTCAAGGGCATGTACCTTGGTTGTGGGCAAATCCCCAGTAGGAAGTGTGCAGGAAGGCAGCTGATCGATGTTTCTCTCTCATCTTTGTTTCTAACTCTCTATCCCTCTCCCTTCCTCTCTGCAAAAAATCAATAAAATATATTGAAAAAAAGAAAAATGTCATAAAATAGGATTTCGTGTTTTTCTGGAAAATAATCATATTCCCTGAATCTTTAGATCCTCTGATGTAAATAGGCCTTGCTTGGTCTTCTGGCCACGTTCAAATAAACCCTAAAGGGCTGTGTGTGCGAGGAAGAAGTGGAGAAGCCTCAGCTAGGAGGGGACTCAAGTATTTTTTGGGGAAACAAAACATCAAAACCCCAAACTTGCAGCCATGCCCTACAAAGGCAGGTACAAGGCTCCGAGCAGCCCTCCTGCCTCCCAGGGGTGGGCAGCCTGGCCGCCCACTTCTGGGGGAAGGTGACAGGCGGGGCCAGGCCGTTGACAGCAGGTGAGTGATTGCGCCTTCAGCTTCCTGCCGCGATCCATCACGCGGCCGCAGCCGCTGAGGAATCGCAGCCCCCGCAAGGTGCTGAGCCCAGCAACATATCATTAAACAAGGTTACCGCCGGCAGATCTGTTCCCATGATCAATCTGGTCAATAACCGTTCCACCTCACTGTCCACGCCCCCCCCCCCAAACATAAACAAGCATTAGGAAAGCACTTGGAGAACAAGGTAAGGCCTGGCGAAGTCTTCATTTCTCCCGTGGCATTCCGCAAGCTTCTTTCAAAACCCGTGTAAAGCATGAAGAATAGCCTTTTCTGCAGGATACATCCTCCGGCAGGTGCTCTACCCGAATCCCATATTTTATTACCTGATACTGACTGATTTTTTTTTCTCTCCAATTGATTACCGAATAGCATCGGGACAATTTCTTTCTTTATGTCCCCTCGAGTCTGCGTAACTCACTAGTTTCTTCCCACGTAAGAAGTCCCAGATGAGAGAGAAGTAGGGCAGCTATCGCTGTTACGGCTCAACTTGAGTTCTTGTGTTTTGCATTTAACTCTTCACACTCGGTGGCATTGGATTCTTGCCTGACAGGTAATATCTTGGCTTCTTTACTGTGTCGTTGAGACTGGTTAATATTATAATCATTAGGATTTAGAAAAGCGAACAGGAATAGCATGAGAAAAGTCTCTGGGACTCTCCGTTGGTGAGTTTGAAACAAAAGGTCTTAATATGTATGGGAATAAAAAACAACCAATGAAAAAATCCACAAGCGAGAGTGGTTATTCCAGAAAAAACACACACAACAACAACACGCAAGACTTTCCAAATATAACCCCTTTCTGGCTGGGTCCCCTTGAATATTTTAGGAATTTATGGTTGTAAGTATATATCCATTGAATTAAAATATGTTTATATGATTAAAATAGGCACACTGGTTCTTAGCCTATTTTATTGATATATTGATCAATATATTGGGAATAATAAAGTAGTCCTGACGAAACTAAGGCATTCATGTTGGAGAGTACAGTCGGTGTTTGGGGTCACCTTGTACAGGAGACACCAGCTTAGATTTCACGGGACAAGCAATAGGGAATTATTCAAGATTGGTTGAGTGTATAAGTATCCCCTTATACACTCTACGCATTTTTTTGATCAATAATTATTGATCAATATATTATTGATTTCAGAGAGGAAGAGAGAGAGATAGAAACATCAATGATGAGAGAGAATCATTGATTGGCTGCCTCCTGCACGCCCCACACTGGGGATCAAGCCCGCATCCCAGTCATGTGCCCTGAATTGGAATCGAACTGTGACTTCCTGATTCACAGGTCGACACTCAACCACTGAAACACACCGGCTGGGTGGTTCTTGGCCTTCTTAAAAACAATGATAGTTTACCTAACAGAACTGATTAACTGATTGTGGAGAAAAATCACAAATCTGAACTCAAAATCCATTCCAACTTCTAAAACTTGTATCACTACAAAAATAAAGTTTGTTCTTTGCCCTACCTTTAGGCAAGGCCCCCTTACACTGTCCCAGGGAGAGGGAACAGATTTCTTTTTTAAATCCTTCCAAAAGAGGGCTTCTTAAAAGCCCCTGTTAAGTAATTGCATGAAATGATAATCCAGATAGAAATTCAGTTGTCTAACCTAGTCTTTTTTATTCAAATCATTTCCTTCCATCCATCTTCCTAGTGGAGATGAATTCCAAGTAAGTGTATTTCTGTGTAAAACACCATTTAAGTTAAATGATTAGGTTTATCTTAAGCATCTGTGGATGGAAGTTAATTCCCTTAGATCAGCGGTTCTCAACCTGTGGGTCGCGACCCCTTTGGCGGTCGCACGACCCTTTCACAGGGGTCACCTAAGACCATCCTGCGTATCAGATATTTACATGACGATTCATAACAGTAGCAACATGACAGTTATGAAGTAGCAACGAAAATAATTTTATGGTTGGGTCACAACATGAGGAACTGTATTTAAAGGGCCAGAAGGTTGAGAACCACAGCCTTAGATGCTCATGGTACAAAACATACCATTGGCTTGATAAGTCCGAGACTCATTGCCAAGTAAAACTGTAAACATTTAGAGAAAGTAGAACTCATTGTTTACACTTCAGAAATATATTATTGTTTCTCCTTAATAATGGGTGATATAGTTCCTAAACATGAATGGAATGCACTCAACATTATTGTTTAAAAGTGTTTATTCTCTAGTCTGTTTGTGACTACTTGTGGAGCAATCCTTGCCAGTGAAGTGATTATTTAGAAGAACAGCTCACCTATATTGATGACCATTAAGAAGCCGATTGCCTGTGGGTGTAGATTAAAAGTGCGCATTATTCTTTTAGAAAACGTGTTAGTCTATTCTATTCTCACGTGCGTTCCAAATTCCCCTCAGGAATATCATTTCACACATCAGGGCTGATGACATGATAAAAGTGTTATAGATTGGGAGCTCTTAATTCACATATAAGAGAAAAATAGTAGAGATATCCAGTAGGTCCCGGTTCTATCCTCCGTTTAACAAATATTTATCGAACGCCCATTGTGCATGAGGCACTGTGTCTCCATTTTTCCTTATCTCAAGTCCGTGGTCACAGATTACATTGCGATGTTCAGAAGATACTAAATCTGAGTCATGTAGTCGAGACTTAATTTGGTTAAAACCTAGATGACTTATAGGCGAGCTGCAATATTCATGGCAGCTTGGTAATGGGCTTAGGTGGCTCCTATGGTACAATAATGCAGAAAAATGGAAGGAAGCGATTGCTTCCATAATACACTATAATTTCACTTAGGCTCTGCGTAGATACAGTCATCAATAACTCCGTAAAAACAATTTCACATCTAAGCATCTAACGCCAAAGCGCCTCGACTCTCAGCAGGAAGGTGATGGAAAAACAAAGCATTCCTTCTATCATCCGTTACTTTTCTTCTGCCATTGATTGAACTAATGACTGAAACTCAAATTTAGAAGGACATAAATGAAAAGCCATACAGATGAATGAAAATAGACTCGTTATAGCTGGCTGTAAAGAATGCTTTTGTAGCATTTTTAAATATAAGATTATTTTCAAGCATTAGGAAATAGCCAAATAGTGTTAAAGAACAGCGTGTCATTTTTAATTCATAAACATTTTCTTTTATCACCCTGGACTAGATATATGTTCCTATTTAAGGATCTTGTGAAACCTCCCCATTTCTGTGTGTATATGTGCGTCTTTTTATGTTTCCCCGGGTGCCCATTGCAAACCCCAGGTGTGCTTCTTACAAATTAGATAATTTTTAAAAGCCCTCCAACATAAGAAACAATAAAACTCAGTTAAGTTTTATTCTCAGTGGAAATATTAGAGAGAGTCAGACAAATACGTTAGAGAGTCTGTCATGACATCTACCTCTCATTCTTCACTCACACATCTTTCCTAGGAATTGCTCTCACCTCAAATCAAATGCGTTCCTGGGAATGCACTGTGAATCCTCAGAGTCACTTAATCAGTGACCATTTCAGCCTGCTTCCACATTTGTTTTTCTGGGGGTCAATTCCCTTCAGACACCGTGTATGGTCAATGCAACATCTATCTATATAAAAGCCTAATATGCAAAGTATCCCCTCGGGAGTTCGATTGCTCGCTATGACATGCGCTGACCACCAGGGGGTGGCATGGAATGAAGGAGGCCCCGGTCGGCAGCCAGGGAAGGGAGGCCCTGGCTGGCAGCCGGCAGCCCTTAGGGACCCTACCTGTGCATGAATTTCATGCACTGGGCCTCTAGCATCAAATAAGCCTTGAGCTTAACAGAAATCGACCCCCTTTCCCATCTCTGGTACATATATTACATATTGGCATGAGATTCTGGGCCAACTTATGTATTTTAGGCCATTCCCTTCTGACTATTTTGAGTTCTAATTTCTTCTCGGTAATAACATATCACATATGTCCTTTAGGTACAACAAAACAAGCCCCCCTCCGAGACAAAGAGAAACGGGTTTAGCTAAGCAAGGATGAAGCTCTGGGTGCGGATTAGGAGTTCTTAGGAAGGCAAGATTTTTGTTAAGCACACGGAGACATTGCATGTGGATGACTCCGCACTATAGAGACCGACATTTCCTACGTGTTTTGGTTGGTGCTAATGAAGAGGTCAATCAGGTTATCTCTAAAGACTTTGTCTTGAGTGTCCTGTTGTGACCCTTTAACTTCCGGCCACCAGAGCTTGCATACATCCTGGTTTCTACCTCGTCAAGTCAATGACAAGTAGTCAGCACACAGAGGCCTAGACGCCCCAGTAGCACCAACTGGAAGATCCCCAATAGATATGATGCCGGACTTAGAGTCCTTCAGTTGGTAACACTCTGACCTAAGTTGAGATTATAGGGTCATACAGGGTACCTCTCCCTCCCCAACATCAGGCGGCTCTGTGGTGTGTTTGTTCTC